ACTGAGCACAGAGGTACTCTGTTGACTTCTTGAGCTAACTTCTGTAACTCAGTTGTCGTTCTGCCGGAACATGTTAATCATCGGGGAACTGCGACTTGATTAATGTTAGTAGAGAAGTTTCAGACTTCTGCTATCTGGCAGAACTATTAGTGCTTTATGAATGTGAGCAGCTAGCTGGATCATTAGGGTTCCAGAATGTGTAGTGCAGGATTCCAAAGGTAACACAGTGTCAGGAATACCTCTGCCTTGGTCCTGCTGTCACAGGGTTCTGGCATCCTTTTCCCCTTCTTTTCTGTGATTGAAACTTTCTTCACGCAGCTCACCAACACTTATATCTTACTGTGGCCTGAGATTTGCAATCGCCAAATGCATCCCCCTCGAAGATAAACGAGTTGCCCTAACTACTGTCGGTGGTGGGGGACACGTGACAGGGTCACTGTTCTTAGCAACACAGGGTGTTACTGATGATTTGCAGCTCCTCGGGTCTTTTCCTCTGTTCATAGATTGTGTTCATTCGTTGGGAGGCCTGTGAACTAACTAAAGAGGGAAAACGATGCGGAGCGAGAATGAGATTGTCTTGCTTGTTAATTAAGCTACGACCGTTCAGTGCTCTGGAGTAACTAAATACTGACTAGAAACTGCTAAGGCTTGAACTGGCTACTTCAAGCCTGTCTCCATGGTTGGACTCAATGTAAAGCCAACGCTTTGGTTTGTTTTTGTTTCTAGAAATTTCTAATTCAATAGATTGCAAATGTCCATGGTTACTTGATTTCGGCTACTCAATATATCAAAAGTCATTTCCTATTGGAAGCTGGGTAAGTAGATTAAAAGGGTAGTAATGATGAACAAAAATATATTTTTCAACAAATAATATAAACAAGTTGATAATTAGAAGATTAAAGTAGGGATATATTGCATGATTTATTGAATCATAACATTATTTTATAATAAAGGTTCATTTTTTTAAAACAAAATAATTATATTTTGTGCTTTCTATTGATAATTGGTACTTTCTAAGAATCTAAGGCAGCTGTCTTGATGTATTTTATCTTGCACTCATTCAGGGAAACAGGACTGTCCCCTTGATACGATGGAACAATGGGTCCATTAATGTACAGCTCACCTTAGAGACCTGTGAGCTTCCAGCAGAAATGTCCCTGGTCTCTCCAGCCTTCACACACTCAGACTACACTCTGGTGTATTTGACTAGGAAACCAAACCTTTTGGATCCTAAGCTAGTTTTGCATATATGAACATTCAGGACCATTCAGTGTCGGCTGAACTTGCAGTCAGAGCAGAACTCAGATTCTGTTGATGCAAACTGCCCTCCCCTATGACAGAATTATGTATGTATTGTGGATGCGCAGACGTGTATGTATCTGTCTGTATATGCACATGTGTGTGTTCTGGTGCATGCATGGAAGCCAGAAGAGGCGCCAAGTCCTTTGGAGCTAGAATAGGCAGGTGTTTATGGAATACCTAGCTTCCTACACGGGTGATAGGACCCAAACGCTATCCCTCATGATTGTGCAGCAAATTGTCTTCTCAATTTTTCCAGCCCCAAGACTTCTTTTTTGGCGGGGGGAGGGGGGCGTTTATAGTAGCCAAACCTAGGTAGTCTATAGAATGGTCCCTATCAGTACACAAGACATCATAAGTGAACAGGATCCAGTTGAATGGGTCTATTGAAAAGTATTCCAAAGCTAATGGGCCTGTGGCAAATGTTCCCGGAAGAAGTCCTATCCAAAGTCAGTGTCTTAGAACATGCACTGTTCTTGCAGAAGACCCACACGGAGCAGCCCTCATCCACCTGCAACTCCGCCTCTGGGCGTCTGATGCCTTCTCTACTCCATGGGCACATGCTCTCACATGTTCATATGCACGTGCACACATACACACACATGAACACACACACACACACATAGTTAAAAATACATCTCTTTTAAGGAGCAAATGAGTCCTATTCCCCAAACTAAAGGGGAAACAAGATCCCCATGAAGCTATTGATTTTTAAATATTAGTCATTAGTTCACCTATCCCAAGCAGCATGGCTATCCTCAACAATATTCTGAGTTCTTATAGTTGTTTGGCTCAAGATTTGATCTTTGTTGTCAGTGAAGGCTTAGGTAGGAATCACTCAGGCCCAGGATATTAGAAGTGCAAGCATTTAGTCAGTGTCAGTAGGTGGGGGCAGATGCGGTGACAAACGGAGCCTGGGCTCTCAGGAGTGGATGAGGAACTGAGGGGTCTCTGGGCAAATGAACAAACCGAGAGCGTGTGTGGGAAGGAGAGCATCAGGGCGGTCAGATGTCAAGCACGTGCCCAAGCGCAAGTCCAGAGATGACTTCTGTGGTTCGGGGAAATTGGATTTGCCAGTAAGTGCTGAAGGCCTACTGCGCCCACACACTCTGCTGAGTGCCAAGACAAATGAGCTGTGCTCTACTCCAGCTGAGTCACTGCAGAGGGCAGGGCACGTCTCTGGGAGACGGCTCCACTGCCCATTAGCCACTGACCTGAAATGAGATAAACACGGCCCGCTGCAGCAACCCAGAACGGCCCAGACAGTCACTCAGCCAGCCCTGGGGCAGGGGGGCTGAGCACAGACATGGAGTATCTTGTCAGCTAAACCTCCCAAGGCTATCAAGGAAACTCTAGAAGTATCACCTCAGGTTCTAGACTCCCCTGCAATCTGCGCTGGAAGCTATGTGATCTTTTTTGTTTTCAACGCCTTCTGTCTTTTATTCATAGAATCAATTCTTGGGTTCTCATTCTGGGATGTAAAATGGTCAGCTTAAGGGACTCAGCCTTTGGTGGCTTTGGTATATGGTAGAGATGAATAGAAAATGATACCTGTGAACTTGGTTTAAATAATGAGACACATCCCAATCCACACCTGAACTTTAGCATCTCTCCAGACATGCAAGTATAAATAACCTTTCCTTTTAAGGCTTAGCGATTACATATACCTTGACTAAAGGACCCCCAGCTACTGATTCATACCAGGGATGCGGACGACGTCCAGAGGAGTCTTCAATTGCTTCACTTGTTTGTAAAGCAGATAATCTCTTTCCTGTGTCTTCATTTTCTCAGTGAGCCCCATGCAGGAGACATTAATGGCTGGTTTGGGTTTTTGATTCTTGAAAAGCACCTTCGCGAAACATTTGCCCAGACGTTCCTCACCTTCCTGAAATCAAAGTTTCAGAGTTACCAAAGGCGGCTCCTTATCAGCTGTTATCAGCTGTGCCCAGTGCAGCTCACACAGACACATGGGGGGCTGAGCATCCATCGAGTGTGGCAGGCTGGCAGCAACAGAAGGAGCCTAACTTTGTAGAAGGTGAGTTTTGTGTTCATGGATTGAGGTTAGCGTGAACTGGAAACTAGCCAAAATTCAGAATCCCTAGGACACAGACCTCCAGGCATGCCCGAGGTGGGTGGCTTGATTGTGTTAATCAGTCCACCTGTTGTGGGTACCTGTGAGCCTGGATTACGGAAGTGGAGGAAGGGCGCGCTGGGGAGGCCACAGCGGCGTCCCTCACTGCTTTCTGACTGTGGGTGCAGTGTGACTCCCCAGTGTGATGGAATGTGCCCTGGACCTGCCATCCAGACAAATCCTGTTTCTCACATCGATCTCGTCGGGATTTTCTTACAGCAACAGAAAGGGAACTGTCCTTCAACCTTGCTGCCATCTCAACTTTGTACCTTCTGATTTTGCCTTTACATAAGGATGCTGGAAATCTCGCAAAGAAATCTGTGGAGCCCACCTTGGCTCACCTCTCTAGGATAGTGGCCGCTTTGCTCTATCTGGAACTAACACAATGGTACTTGGGTATTATGCTTACTAACTTGAGTTGGAAGATGAAGCTGATTCCTATTGACGAAAATACCAGCATGTATGTGTGTAAGTTAGCTCCTTCCCTAAATACCCAAATGCTAACATCTAAAAAGGAAACCACTCCACATCTTCAGTTCACGTGACTTGCACTGGTGCCTGTCTGAGCTCAGCTACTAACCCAGGCTATAATAATTCTGCCTCCCTATTCTGAGAGCTCTACCAAATTAAACCCACCAATCATCCAGATAGGACACATTCAGACACCTGCACTCAGACCGAGGATTCTGTGACCACCTTCGCTTATGTCAAATCCAAAGACTTCAGATGTGTATGCTTTTGGGTAGTGGTTTTCCCCCCTCCTGGTCAAGGTTCTTTAGCTTGGCCATTAAAGTCAAGGACTTATCCCCAGAAAAGCGCACATGCTTACAACCATCAGAATTAGACTTGGAATGATAAGTTCATAATCACTAGCCCACTAGCCATGGGTGCCCAGTAAAGGCGTCCTATCAAAATGTGACCAGTGGAACCCTTGAAGCAATAACCTTCATTTCTCTTTAGTGATTTCAATGGCATCCTGGTGTTGAGGCAAGAACCAGAAACAAACTCAAAAGGTCCCCAGTGAAGGGAAGGAAATTATAATCAAAGTTGGGTCTTCAAAATAAGCCCGCTTTTAGAACTAGTTTAAAAAAAAAAACTGAAACAAGTGTTCCACTGGGCAGCTTTCCTCTGGGAGTGTCTGTTCGGGATGGGAGGAGGGTTTGGTGCAGTAACTAACATGCTAGTGATCGGTGCAGCATAGAAAAACTGGAAGACTCTTTAAGCTGCTATCAGAGAAGTCCCCTCTCCTTTGATGACAGCCATCCTCGGAGAAGAGGAAGAGAGCTGGGTATTTATGTCCCCTCTGTGCACCTCCCCTCAGACAGCTCTGTGGAAACAGTGCCCCTAAGACGAAAGTCCGACCTTTGCGCTGGTCGGCTAGCTGCGCTCCGAGAGTGCTATTCCATCAAATCCACGGGAGCATGTTGTCGGTCAGAAAAAAACAGTCATCGTTAGCGTCTAGCTGCAATGCTTTCAGTTTACAAAGCTAAAAATCAAAGGCACCTCCCTAATCCTTCCAGAAAAATCAACTCTGCAGTTTATACGCAAAGTCTGTGTGTATCACGCGAGAACTTGCTTCTGATCCCGGCGAGCTTTCTTCCAGAGGCACTGGGTCAGGGAGGCCATGCCCTCTCTGAACCTCTGCCTCCCACGCTTAGATGTGGGGCACAGCAGCTTGCAGTTCCCAGGCTTCCTAGGCTCGGCCCACCACTGCTGACAATCCCGGCCGGCCTCTCCACCCAGATTCTGGTTGCCGCCTCTCAGTCTGACTCCACGCAGGGACATTCATCTGCTTCTAATTTCCACATAGGGTTTCGGCTTTCTCTCTCCTGAAAATGGGGTAAGGCAAACTAGCAAGTCGTGGGCTACGTGGTGGGAATTGCAAGGAGGTAGAGAGCCTGTAGCATGCAGGTCACTGCTTTGTGGTTTTTGTTTGTTTGTTTGTCTTTTTGTTTGTTTTGTTTTGTTTTGTTTTATTTGGTTTGGTTTTTCAAGACAGGGTTTCTCTGTAACTTTGGAGCCTGTCCTGGAACTAACTCTTGTAGACCAGAATGGCCTTGAACTCACAGAGATCCACCTACCTCTGCCTCCCGAGTGCTGGAATTAAAAGCACCTGCCGCCACCACTCGGCTTCACCACTCCATGTTTTATGCATGGAGTGATTCTCCAACCTGATACCGAACTGGCCCTGTGCTGTGCCAGCCTGCCAACTTGAAATGTCACCAGCTGACAGGATAAAGAACACACTGGTATTTCATAGTGAGTCATTCTAAGGACTATGAAGTGCGAGGAGGGACACCCAAGGGAGCTGTGAAATTCTCTCCCAGGGCCGGACAGAAGTGGGGAAATGACAGGATGGTGGACGGTTTTTAAATGCAGACATATGAAACCAGCAATTGTTGAAGCCCTTAATGAAAGAAAAGGGGTCCCCGAGCATGGTCCGGGAGTTCTAAACCCCTGCCGTGGAGCTCTGCAGCCTGGCATCTGTGACCTGCGCCTTGGACCACGACAGATGTGTGATCAGTCAGAATTCCTCTAGTTCGCATGGCCTTCTTTATGTGTTAGAGATTGTACAACTGGAAATTATGTGCAGAGTGACTCACAGTACGTCCCAGAAGAGTACACCTGCCAGTCTGACCGTCTGCCTTCACCTGGCAGGGATTACACAGCAAGAAATGGCCCTCAAACACCACCTCCCAGAAGAAATGGGTCATTTAGAGAAAATTTTAAGTGTTGGGCATAGGAAACCTCTCTGCAATTCATTGGTCAGGGAGGCCCAGGAGAAAGGGGTGGGGGTTAATCAAAGCATTGTAACTAAATATTCGGGCCCAGTGCTGGGGACTTCAACCATGATTGCAGGACATCAGGAAATTGATCTCAGACCAACCAGAAAGCTTTCCCTGCTGGCTGGGTTTCATAATCCTAGAAGGTGCTCTGCAAACTGCTGGGGGAGAGAAGCAGCCAATAGTCCTGTTGAACGTGGGCCCCTGCAAGTCGCAACACTGACATGCCGGCAGCGCTGTACCCACGGGTGTGATAGGGACCGATGCTTCAGAGGTGACCATTCAGTTTCTGCTAAAAGGTGAGGTCCGCTCCACCGGAGCGATTTCATGTCTGGTGCGGTAAGCCTCGTCAAAAGCCATTGACTATGACACTGGGACCTGTTTCCTCTACATATAATGGATTTTGGGGATCCAGTCTGTTTGGACACTCACCTTCCTGGACCTGGAGGGAGGGGGAAGGTACTGGAACTTCCCACAGGGCAGGAAACCCTGACTGCCCTGGGGGACGAAGAGGGAGGAGGAGGGGGAGTAGGGGGAGTGGGAGGGTGTTGGGAGGGGGGGTGGAAATGGAAACTTTTATAATTTAATAAAATTTACTAAAAAAAAAAAAAAAAAAAAAGCTCATGGCTTGGGAACTCATATGCCCCGGGGGAGTTATTTTGATCAGTGATCATGTTGTCCACTTTCTTCTTATTATTTATGTTTATACCCATAGATTTGTGTTGTTTTCCACCTTGGGCAGGGAAGCTTCTTTTCGCAGGGAGTAGCAGTTACTTCTGAGTCTAATGAGTCTCAGCCATCGATGAGTAGATGGACATCTATGTCACCCTCCCCATCCAAATCTCAGGGAACCTCAAAGAAGAGTGTACAGAGGGTGAAAACCTATGGAAAGGTCTCCGTGCTAGAGAGATGGCGCAGTGTCGAGAGCACTGGGCTGCTCTTCCAGAGGACCCAGGTTTGAGTCTCGGCACCCACACGACACAAGTGTCTGTAACTCCAGTTTTAAGGGAGTCCAGTGTCGTCTTCTAGCCACCAGGCACACACGTGGTACACAGACATACAACAGACATACATGACGGCAAAACATCCATACACATAAAACGATTGTTAAAGGCTGTCTTCCATGACAGGGCTGATGCACACACCCACTCAGCTCACAGCAGATGTGGGGACCTGCACAGGGTCGAGCCAATCAAAATTCTCACATGGACTGGGGTGGGCCTGCTGAGAGGAGTTATGGGCAATTGGGTAGCTGCTGGAGGAGGGAGACTCACTTTTCTTTGGTAACATGGCCACTGGTAGGTTGGCCATGCCCCATCTGTATGTGGTCAGTGCTAATTAGACTCCATGTGCTAATAATAATAATATAGTAATAATAATGGATATGAAGTTAGGAGGAAGATAGGTTGGTGGGTGTTGAGGAAATTTGAAGCATGATTAACAAAAACTTAGAGACAGAAATTGGGGTTCAACTTGAAGGTCAGAAAAGCAAAACTGCCAGCCACTGGCTCTTACCCTGACCTCAGTCTGAAATGGCCATCCTGCCTCCAGTAAACCTCAGAATGAGACTGACCTTCGGGCAAGCTTTATTTATTAAAATACAAATAGATGCCACTATGGGAATTAGAGAAAGGCACTAGCGGGTGAATAAGCTCAAAATACATTGTGTATATGAACGGAACTTGCAAAGAATAAATTAAAATATTATAAGTGAAGACCGAACATATTGACTTAAGAAAAAGCTCACCATAACGGTAAAAGTAATTCGCCAGAGGAGTCCCTGCAACCTACCTGCCTTACACGCAGGCTAGATTCCAGCTACTGCCAGTCTGCTTTCCTCTTGGAGCAAGCTCAGTAAACTATTTCCCTACTGTCCTGAAGGGTAAATTCAGTTACTGCCTTCCAGTCCTCTCCCACTACTGTGGTGGGTACCCAGTCTCACGTTTTCCATTAAAGACTATTTACAGATGCGACTAATAGACTACATCACTAATTAGGGCAACGTACCTCTTCCAGGTTGTAGCGCTCTGTGCTAAACACCAGGTTCACTTCACATCCCTCTTGAGGGTCAACCTGAAATGCAGAAATAGAATCTTAGCATGGTGGAATCATCACAGCTATTTTCCTATCCGGAATTATATTCTTGTTGGGTTATAGTGGTGCACATTTTTAATCCCAGCACTCAGGAGGCAGAGGCAGGTGGATCTCTGTGCGTTTGAGACCAGGACTACATAGGAAGACTCTGTTTCAAATAAAATAAGACAAATCATATTCTTGGACCCGGAGAGATGACTCACAGTTAAGAGTGATTTCTCCTCTTTCAGGGGTCCCAGGTTCAATTCCCAGCATCCGCTTTGTGACTCACGACTGCCTGTTATTCCAGTAAAGGGGGTCCAGTGCCCTCTTCTGGCCTCCAAGGGCATCAGACATGCATACAGTACACATACACACATGTAGGTAAAGCACTCATCTGCATACAAATTTTAAAACTATTACCAGCATTATGTTCTTGGGACACTGAGGCGAGTCAGTGGAGCTGCTGTAAGGAGGCCTCAGGGACACTGGAGAGTCTTATCTCAGACTTGGACTGTTCTGTTTATGGTTTGACCCACTCACAGAGACAAAGCTGAGAAAGGGATATGGAAAACCCAGAGTGGAAGTCGGCTTTTAGAGCAGTCATTCAGTGAGAAACAGGCGTGGGAACAGGCTGGAAGGACATCAGTTCCGACATCCTTCCGTGTTACCCCAGGAACTATCTGGGTACCCAGGCAACCTCAACAGGAAGGCAGATGAAGACTTCCTGGTGTCATCCTTGGTCAAATGGAATACAGACAATGAATGGATAATGAATTTTCAGGGGAGAGCATAAAGGAAGAGGGTGGTGGTCCAGGGAAGTGCCGGAGACAGTGTAGTAGCCTAGCTGAGGGCTGAAGGACGGCAAAGCAGCCGCCACGTCTAGATCTGGGGATGCCCTACAGTCAGGAACAGTGAAGGCATCCTCAGGTCTTATGTTCCCTGATATAGTCCCAGTGTTAAGGGTTCCCTAAAGATCCTGTGCTAAAGGTTGAGTCCCTCAAGGTGCCCATGGGAGAGCTGAGACTGTAAGAGGTGGGGCCCAGTGACAGATCTGTAAGGCCACCGAAGCAAGCCATCGCAAGACCATGCATGATCGCGTCCCTTTTCTCTTTTTTCCTTCCTGGTCACAGAGAGGGCAGTTTTGTTCAGCCACACCTCTCCACTGTGATGTGCTGTCTCACCAAAGGCTCAAACACAGCAAGATGGAGCCATCACGGACTGAAACTCTGAGTCAAAAATAAAATCTTTTCCCTTTAAGAGTTGGCTGTCTTGGGCATTTGCTGTAGCAGAAAGCTGATTGGCAGGGCTTCTTCCCCTTGTGGTTTTCACAGGCAGGTAGACATTCTAAGCTTTCCATATGCACATTTGAATGTTTTAAACTTCTGAACTGATCCTAGCACGGATTTGTGGAGTGAACTTCAGTTATCTGGAATTTTAGTGGAGTGAACTTCAGTTATCTGGAATTTTATATTATTTGCCACCATTTTAAAAACAGACCAAAATGATCGTTCAATGAGAGGACTACTACCTAGAAAAAAGGGGACCTTTGTATTGCATAGAGTTGAAATTACTTCACATAACACTGATTAAATAGAATTTTATAAACATCAACTTCCTTTGAATTTTTGCCCAAAGATGCAGTGACTAAACATGGTTATTTGACCTTAAATCAATCAGAAGCATCCATTTCTACAATTACAACCGGATAAGAGACAGGAGTGAGGAGCAATTATTTATGTAGAATATATTTAAATATAAAAAATGTATGGTTATTTCTGGAAGAGAATGGTGCTTGTCTAGGGCTCATTTTAAGCTTTCAACATGTTACCAAAGGTACACATGGAAGTCTGTCTGTCCACCCGTTTGGAGCTAAAAGATAGACCTCCCTAGCCAGCTTTCCCAGAATCCACTTCCAGTAAGAAAGCAGGTGAGCAAAGCCAACCAGTGTAGCCATAGCGAAGGTCACTAAGTTTAGGAAGGT